CGAATCTACTTTTACAGAAATTTGGTATACATTTGTTGATCCCTATGCTACTGATGTTGATGAACGTGGTACAGGTAAATATTTTATTTATTGACAAAGGAAAATAATGACAAAAGAAAAAAAACTATAGATTAATTATGATCAACGACTATCTCATATCGAACTAGAAATTTTTGTCATCCCCATATTCATTGTGTTAATTGTGCAAGAAGGTATTGGTTTTACGTTCATTTTGATGAAAAAAAACGAACTTAAGTGAATTCTGTTCAGGTTCGTTTTATTTTTTTATTCAAAATATGATAATTTAATGGCTGATTGTTGAGATGACTAGGGTAAGGTAAAGGTTACCCTACATATCTCAAATTGATTGCTTTTTAATCGAGTCTGTAACAGATTATACCAAATGTGGAAGAACAGAACTATCTTTGATAATTATTTTTTCGACACATCTGACTTGTACTTTTTATCTTGGATATGATTCTGATGAATTCAAACATTTGTTATTAGTATTTATCAATGACAAAATGTTTGCGAATCATATTTTTGATGAATATTCCTATGGATAGTCAACCGCAAAAAAATACAAGGTTCTCCAAAGATTTTTTTTCGTCTGTAGAACTTTGTCGAGTTCGTTGTGATGATCATTTTCGTACAAACAAATATTCAAATTTACTCAATAAATCATGGTGATAAGACTAAAGTGGTTAGCGCCACAAGCTCTACAAAGTTCTAAAGACGAAAAGATCTTCTGAGTACGTTATGATTTTTTTTTGCGGTTGACGACCCATGAAAGTATCCATCAAAAATATGTAATCATAAACATTTTGTCATTAGTAGGATGGATTATATTTGATTCAATGGGACAAGTGACAGTTGGTCGAATGACAATTAGTCGCGTGTTCGACAAAAGTGTGATTTTTACTTCACTTCTCACAAATTGTTTTCAGTTGAACTTATGCCAATCAAAGAATATCCTGGTAATAAAAGAAAAAACAGATTATATATATATATATATAATAAAAATATTTATTTCTTAATTTATAGGAAATCATTCTTGGTAAGAATATATTCTCGTCTTATTGCGTATTTAAAATAATTTTTCATCTTTCGTTTTATTTAATAACTATTCTAGGGGGTATATAAAATGTATAAAAGACATTTGGAAATATCTGAATTACTTTTAGCTAATAGTTAGAATTCAATTGGTGTTATATTTACACATAAACATGAATATAATCATGCATTCAAATATTTATTTCGTGCTATAAATCTTTATGAAAAATATTTACCAACTATTGATCATCCAATGATGGCAACAAATTATAATTGAATTGGTTTACTTTTTTATTATATAAAACAATATAATCAAGCATTAGATTATTGTTTAAAAGCAATTAATATACGTGAAAAAATTTTACCAATGAATCATCCATATATTAGTGATAATTGTAATAATGTTGCACTTATTTCTCATCATTTACATAAATATGAAAAAGCATTAAATTTATTTCAACGTTCTTTACAAATACATGAGAATGATTATGATCAAAAAATGAGGATACCTATTTGTTTGAATAATATTGGACGTTTATGTTTAGATCAACATCAATATGATCAAGCTATTGAATATTATTTTAAAGCGTTAGAAACGTATAATAAAGAACATGTAAAAGATAAATATCAAGAAGAAATTTAATTTACATGTGAACATTTAGGAATTGCATATGAAATGAAATCGGATTTTGAAAATGCTTTGAAATATTATAATCAAATATTAGAAAACCAATTATCAAATTGAGAAAATTTTGTTAGAATATCAACGAAAATTGGAAATATTTATCATAAAAAGGTCATTAGATTTAGCATTAGATTATTATTATCAAAAGGCATTAAATAACAGTGAAACTAGTCCATCAGATCTTCTTTCATCTGTTTTTATGTCTATGGGTATTGTTTATCATCGACAACATCAATATGATTTAGTACTTGAAATATATAAACATGCTTTATATATTCGTAAACATTTGTTATCAAATTTTGATCTTGATTTAGTTTGGACATAGAATAATATTGGCTGTCTTTATGATGATATAGGTGATATGAGACTAGCACTTAGATATCAGTAAAAAGCTTCTACTATACGACAAAAAGCTTTACCATCGACGCATCCTGATTTAGCAACAAGTTTAAATAATTTAGGACGTATTTTCTTTTCGACCAAGCTTTATCTTATTACTTGACTATCACATGAAAGCAAGGAAGAAAAGAAAAGAAAAAGAAAAATAACAGTAACAAAAGGAGGAGAGTACATGGAATAAAAGAAGATTAAATAAGCAGAAGGGATAATTTAGGACGTATTCATCAGACATTATCTTATCTTTCAGGTGGAAATGCAATTGAATGCAGGATATCGACCACCTTGAATCGTTTATTTATATAAAAAATAAAATCTTTTTAAATAACAAATAGATTATTTTACATCCAAGCACAGCCAAACGCAATAACAAATACACCAAATCTTCAGCTGCTAATGCAATCAAATCACTAATATCGTGCGATTGCATTTCAAATATTAGACCACCTTGCTTAGAACGAGTTGCACCTATATGACCACCTTGATTAAAACTAGCTACACCTGTACCACCACCTTGATTAAGACCAACTCCAACTGTACCACCACCTTGATTAAGACCAACTCCAACTGTACCACCACCTTGATTAAGACCAACTCCAACTGTACCACCACCTTGATTAAGACCAACTCCAACTGTACCACCACCTTGATTAGCATGATTTTGACCAGTAACTATTACATCATCATCATCAACATCCTCAACCGTATAAACAGGAGTCTAAAACAAATGCATAATAAATAAGGTGGAATACAGTCAAAATACTAATTAAAGAAAGAGAAGCAATTATTTTCTTTATATATATGCATAAGATCGTCAACTGATCTGCCGAAAGAAAAAGAATTTTTCATTCATATCAGTGAACGTCAAATTGACTCATCATGACCTTTTTTTTTCAAGCGAAAGGAATGTATACGAAAGAGAGAAAAAATCGTAAGAAACAGACGAAACTGTATAATGTAAACGACCTACTTGTTTTTTTCGATTTTTTTGCTGCCGTTGTTGTTGTTGATTTGATTGATCAGTTGATGTTTCATCAACTGGTGGTAGCTTGTCAACCATTTCTTGTAGCTTCTTTAATGGATCATACTTCTTACCATCACCGTCACCGTTACAGTCAGACATCTAAAACAATAAGAAATAGACCATAAAGAAATGAATGAGAAAATCTTAAGATGCATGAACGCACATAACGCACAAAATAAATTACTGAACAAGATGTATATCGCAATACACAAAATGATGAAATAAGAAAGAAAAGAACAAATAACATTGCTGTTTTCAAAAAAAAGAAAGAAAAAATGCTAATATGTTTAACAAAATAATCAAATAGTTTTAATGAATAAAGAAAAAAGAAAAACAATTTCAAGATCTATTAAATCTATAAGTAGAAAAGTTTATTTGAAAGATCATGATGAAAATCTTGATGAAGAGATTGACCAACACGATAAGCAAGTTTATGAGCATATTGACAAACCATTGGTACTCGAATTTTACCCCAAAAAACGATTCATATATTTTCAAATTCTATATCAAAATCACTTACTGGCCAATTATAATAAAGATGACATCTAAATAAAAAAAAAAGATTTTTTCATATAAAAATAATATTTTTTCTACTTACAATTTAAATGTAAGTTGTTGAATATGATCAACTTTAAATGTTGTTCGATCTAAAATTTCAAATTTATATAAAAGAAAAAGAATATTTTTTATTCTTTACCCCAAATAACATTAAAAAGTGTTGGTGCTGCTGTACCTTGTCTTGCACATTGTGAAATAAGATAAAAATCAAACCAATTTTGATGTGTTATCGTATGATCAATAATTGTTCCTGGTGGTGGATTATATCATTGATGAGTATTCTTAGCAAAAAATCTTGAACAACCACGTGTCTTAACAATAATCATTGCCCATTTAGGTCTACGAAATCAACAAAAACTTTAAATTAAATTCATTTCACACTTACGTATAACCTTCTTGTACTTTACTAAATGTTTCTTCAATTTGTGGTGATTCATGTTCATAAACAGCTTGAAGTTGTCCATCACCAACACCATCACAATAGATAACAATACGTTCAGGCTTTGCATTATTTTGCATAAAAAATGCTTTTAATGCATCTAAATATGAAAAAATTCTATAAAAAATAATTAAAATTTTATTTTATTTTATTTACCTCGAATACAAACACTTATACCATCAACTAATTCTTGTGTTGTTGTTTGCATAATAATACGTGAATAATATGATGTACATTGAGGATTTGTTGTTGCAACAAATGCTGCTATTGATACTTGTTTACGTTTTATATTTATATCACGATATGAATCAATACCAATAATCATTAAACTTTTTGACTTTAAAAAAAAATGATGAAAGAAATTTAAGAAAATGATTGTTTTTTGTTTTACCGGAATTGTAACCGACCAAATTTCTTCACCAAGTTTAGCTGATATTTGAACACCAATTTTTGTTGCTACTGACATTAATTGGCCATGTTTATTTAAAGTTTTTAAAAGTACCATCTAAACCAAAACAAAAAATTTTCATTTTTTTAATCATTTAATTATTACTTGAGATGGAATAACTGTATCCATACATGAAAATTTTTTTAATACATCATAACGATCTTTTCGATTATTATTTAATACACAAAGAACAAGATTATATTGTTGATTAAAACAATTTTGTTCTAATGCTTTTAAATATGTTTCTGGTCGATCATTTTGTAATTCAGCTCTACTTAAATAAAAAAAATATTTGTATTTAAATATTCCAAAACTTACATTTCAGGATATTCTACTCGCATACCCTAAGATCAACAAATTAATTTAAATTTTTCAGAGAAAAAAAAAAAGATTTTACCATTAGTGTGCACACATTATAAAGTGTATTAATAAGTTCATTAACAATCGGTTTTTGTTTTCTTTCATAAACTACAAGCCATTTATCCAAATGACCTGGTTTTATATGACGACAATTACGACCTAAATAAAGACAAGTATTTACCTTTTTGTACTTGTAGTTTTAATTATTAACGTGAAATGAGTCCTGCTATGATTAAAAAAAAACAGCAAAAATACAGATAATCTATAATTTTGAACGATAATTCGAACTTTTCTGTCAATAAATTGTATTCAATGGAAATTAGAATCGTTACTGACACTGTTATATCCTTAGTGAAAAAGAATAATTTCGAAATTTTTTATTATTGGGTTCGATTGATGAAATGGTTAATTGTCTTTCGAGATTGAATTCTTAAAAAACTATTTTTGTCAAATAAAACAACCATAGATATTTTCATTTATCTTTACCATCACGACTCCAATCAGTCTCTTGTTGTTTATATCTGACTGAACGATCACTATAATTAATTGTTTCAGCTTCAAGTGTACGATCTTCAAGTTCAACTAAATTATCGCCTAATCTTAAATTCCATTTCAACATATATTGACGACAACGAGGTGATCTAATAAAATAAAATTGATTTTTTTCATTAAACTTTTTTTTTTTGATCATACGTATTAATTGTATTAACCATATCGATCAATGCTTGATATCGAGGAGTTGATTCAATATGTGTATATGAAGCCAATTCTTTCATAAGATTAAAATCACTTCACATTGAATCAGAAATACCTAAAAAATAAAATAAAAATCTTTTTTTTTAATAGAAATTATTTGACCTGTTTCACGACAAAATTCTGGAATTAATAAAATCGGTCCTGTAATTCCAGCTCGTCGATTTCGTCCTGATAGTTTTGATACAAGTAATGGTTGTGCATGATCAACTATTTGTAATTGATAACACTAAAATAAAAACATTTTTATTAAAAAATTTAATTATTTATTTTTATTTATACTTCTTGATAATAATCAATTAATGACGTATCTTTTCCATCTCGTCTGGAAAATGTTATTTGAGGTGTTTTATTCCATGAAATATCATCAATTTTATGTTTTATGATTATATCTATTTCAAAAAGAAAAATTAATATTCTAAAAAAGATTTTTTTAATGTTGTAATGGCAATTTGTCCAACTAATTCTCGCATAGCTGTATCTTGTGCAAGTTTATATTCTTGAAATTGTGCAAAAATATTTTGTAAACGTTGATAAATACTAACATTATTAATCACTTTATGTGATAAATCAACATTCATCATTAAAACACCTTCATAGACATTAATAGCTGTTTCAAAACCAGGAAATAAAGTTAAACTAAATCGATCAATATCAATTTATCAAATTGATAATATGATCGACCAATTATTCTCNATATCAAAGCAAAGATGCTTCTCGATTTTTGAATTACTCATACCTTACTAAAACTACTAAAAGTTACAACAACAATATCATTTTGTCTTTTTTATGTCATTTTTTTTCTTAGTATTGAAGTCTGTTTGTTTTTATTGTATTTTATATTCAAGGGTTTTTCATATTAAATACATATATATATATAGATAGTACTCGACCTTTACTATTCAGGGATACAAAAGAAATTTTAATTATATTGGACTGTTATAATGCACGACTTGAAACAGAAAGTGGGACGAGACTTTTGACCTGCACTGTAGTTCGAGCATCTAGTGAAGTAAGGCTATGTAAGTCGAAAATGATCTGTATAAAAAGTAGAAAATATTGTCACATAGTTTTCAGACCTAATTTTTTGTTTTTTAGAAATAAATTATTTTGTATATATTAATGTCAAACTTGTGATAGCGACGGCAAGTTTGGCAGATACATATTAAAGCCGAGTTAGAAATTATCTAGAGCTTATTACTGCAGATATTGATAATTATTTTTCATACAGTATTTTTTACTGTGCTCCATCTCATCAAATGATTCTCATCACGAAAACTTTCAGCTAGTAATTTAGTATTCTTTCGATACCTTTTCTTACTAGAGAAACAGTGCTGCAGGACATCCAGTTACACAATAAATATCATTATTGACTGTAAAAATCTTCAAACGTCTTTTCTTTATTCGTTTAACTCAATAAGCATCTCGATTCATCCCATATTGATTTTATTTTTGTCTCAGCAATCTGACTGAAAAATTCCCTATAACATGCGGGCAATGTGCTGTCAACGACATTGTTAATCACGCATGTGATTTTCGAACTCTGGCATGGAAAAATGTCAGTAAAATAACCTCCATCGGACCTGGGCCGGGCCGGGCGGGCCAGGCAAATCCAAGGGCGAGCTCGGGCCGGGCCGCACTAAAATTAGAACGGGCCGGGCGGGCCACCACTTTAGCTGGGCCGCGTTGGGCCGGGCTGGGCCATAAAAATGAGGCCCGTTTCGAGCCCTGCTGTGTAACGTACGAACGAAACAAGCAAGGAATGTCGACTTGACGTTGACTGAAAGAAAAGAATTTACTCATCTGATTGTTCTATTAAAATTCTTAATCGAAAGAAGAATGGCTTCAGAATATTGTTTTCTACAATCTGTACCAAGAACTCATCTGATAGGTCAATTTTTGACCAATCAAATTTCGACTTACTTCTATGACCCAAGATCTGCTTTCTTTCTTGAGTGATTAAAATCACAGGTTTCTATGATGCTATTATCAAAGGTTATTCAAAAAAAATGAACCACATTGTATTTGGAAATAGATAGTAATTGGAAAATATTTTTAGAAAGTTTAGTGATATAAAATCTATAATCGAGCTTTTAAATTGCTGAATAATATAAAACTTATGTGACTTTGCACATGGATGTTTGATACATAGATGCAATTGTCTAAAATAGTTTCGTAAATACTAAAGAAGGAACTGTTTTAATTGATCAATCGATTTCTCATCAAAAGCTCATGAATTATAACTTATCGACCATGCTAATTTTGAATATAATCATGAGAAATTTTCTCAGATCTTCATCTGGTAATTTGATCAAAAACTGATTTTCCGGACCAATAAAATCTTTCCTAAAAATTGCTTTTATTCCCTCCAAATTATAGAACATATTCAGTAGCGTAAAGAACAGTAACTTTTTTGTTTCAAATTCTTTTCTTTTTAAAAAGCATACAACCATATTAATTGATACAACACATTCGTATCAACATTTCAATATGAAAATGTTCAAGATGATATTATTTTACTTAAAACTTATTTTTGGAAAACAGAAAATATAATTGACTTATTGATAACTCAATGTGTTCTATTATCCGATGAGACCGAAAACGATTTCGGCAAAACGTTTGTTAGCCTAAAAAATCAGCATATGGAGATCTGAGAGAACCTTTCATGGTCATATTCAGAATTGGCATGGTTGATAACTTACGATACACTAGTTTTTGATGAGAAAGTGATTGATCAGTTGAAAATGTTCCAGCGTAATCTGAAGCAATTTTGCTTAGAATCAGAATACTACCGAAATTCCATGCAGACATTATATATCAACTTAATATAAGCCAGCAATCATTAATTGATAATTAGAAAATGCTTTTCTTTTCCTTCGAAACGGCGCATACCACATGGATACTTACTATTGAAAATAACTTTATTGGTCGGTTTGTCTATATCATGAATTGGGCTATTATTTTTTATTTTTATTAATTGTAGTTAACAATGAAGTAGACGAGATTGACGAAGAAATATCATTATTGCTTGTCGTGATATTACTAGAGATGGTTGGCAAATGTTTTCGAGGGATAGATCGTCGATGACAAGGTTGTAAACTTGTACTATAATAATGCGATTATTAAAAGAAAATTTATTGTTTTTTTCATGCATTATTTTACTTAGTTGATGTTGACGTACGACTCATGATTGAATTGAGATCGATTCGAATAAAATCATCTTTATCGTTTTGATTTCGATTATAATGTCCAGTTGTTTTAATTGTTTGTTGTTGAGATTGAGAACTTGATGTGGTACTAGTTGAAGTAGATTTGCTGGTTTTTTTACTATTGGATGTTGTTGATGAACTTAACGAATTTGAAGAAGTACTGTTCGTTATGGTCTCAGTACTATTACTAGTCGATGATGAACTAGATGAAGACGAAGTATCTCGGCTATCGGAAGATGAATCGAATCTTTTGTTTTTCTTAGAAATATTATTATGTTTACAAAATGGTATAGTTCTATTCATCTAAAAATGTATCTATCTTGTCTTAGATCAATAATATGACGGTATATTTACCGTTTGTTGATTAGCACTATACCAGAAAAGTCCCGTATTATTTTGCGTACCTACTGGTAATGAATATTGCTTTGCAAGTATTTTAATAGCTGAAAGACGTTTTGGATAATGATAGGTTGGCGTTTGTGCATTATATTTATGTTGATTAGCGTTGAATGATATTTTTTCTAGTGTACTATTAGTAGTTTTTATTTTTGGTATACCACCAATACTATGTGCACTTTGAATAGGTTGTTTTTGTTCATTAACATTTTGCCGTATTGGTGTTGAATCAGATAGAGATGACATGGATTTATCTTTTATAAAAGATGAATGACTAGCAAATGGTATTGAGAGTACTAATAAACGAAAAATGTGTCAAGTCATAGTTGTAGAAATTCAACTTCACTTACAAGGATCTTTTGATAATTGTTTTATTTCTGATGAATTAATAGTTGATGTAGCTTTGATTTGTTTAAAATCATAACGTAAACCTTGCAATAAGAATTGCATTTTGTTATTAATATTTTCTTGATTGGCAACAATTTCAGTCGGAATATTAATGTCATGCGGACGTTTTGATTGGTATGGTTGTTTCATATGAATGAATTTCATATGTGACAGTTTGACTTGATCTCCACCACTAATACTTCTCTTTTTCTTTTCCCGTTGAAAATTTTTAACTGATTGTTTAACAATGGGTGCACTTTGTTTCGATGAATATCGTCCAAACAAACCACGTAGTAACGATGATCGTTTATTTGTATTTGATAATGTTTTTGTTGATTGTGCAGCATTATTAAACGATGTAAAAATATGAGGAGATTGTTGTTGTGGAGTTAATAAACTCAAATATGAAAAATTATCCTGCGAATAGATGAATTCTTACCATGATAAAGATAACATTGAGATGATACATACATAAGAAGATAAATCTATATTACTAGAAGATGATAAATCTGTTGATGATACAAGTTCATCTATTTTTTCAATGCTAAATGTTACTTTACTAAAACAAGAAATAAAAAGTAAGTGTAACGTTGCTGAAACTTCAGCCATGGACAGTTGAATCAATCGATGGGGACATTGTCCTCATTTATGCAGAAATGATCATCACACATAAAGTCACACATATCAAGGATAAATGAAAGAAAAAGACTATAAATGTATATCTATCAATCGCACTATCCTTTACACTATATTTCATTTTTGATTTCTAATTATCAAGATAGAAATGGATGAATGATTTCTCTTTAAATTAATTACATTTCTACTGAAAAAAAAATCGATTTCCATTAGCATTTCTCCCTAGAGTGAAAAGTAATATGATAGAGATCTATTTAAGTCTTTTGGATTTCTGATTATGCAGTTAGAAATAAATGAATCATTGTTCCATTGTTAGTATTCGATTTTCTCCTGCATGACTGATCTGATGTAATGAATGCTGTTTCCTAAAAAAGCGTTTCTGCTTGACTTTTTGTGGAGTGAAGCGTTTCTGGTAGAAATGAAACAATGTTCCGCTTGTGTGAAGAATATTTTTCAGCCCTCTTAAACGTACTCTTTCATCGCCTCAAATAATGACAATTTCGATTCAGTTGTTGATACTTGTCCTAAGAATTCGATTGCTTGTGACTTATTCAATGTATCATGGGACTGAAAGACAGAAAATATGAAAATCATCATTTTATTTTTCTTATAATTACTTCATTAATCATTTGTGCATATAAGTGTTCTTTGATATTATCGTTGAGTTGTGCACATGTTCGTTTCGGAGTATATGAAAAATTTTTGTCGATTGAAAATTGTTGTTTCAGTGGACTTAATCGATCAATAGATGTTGATACATTTCTCATAAAGAATTGATTCGAATTCGGCATTGAATAATTGAGATTTATAAGAAATGAAACAGTATCAAATATGCATGTCAAAAAAATACAAAAAAAAAGATCTCATAATAGTGAAACATAGATAAACAAATGCAATTTACGAAAGTAAAACATTAAAGCGCGCCAGTAATGTATGATTAAAAACTTTTTTTTTTAATATAAAAAACAAAGAGACATTACCAATTCTAAGCGGTGCCATTCATATCTCTCACACATTGGTCAATAACATATGTAGCAATGTTATAGATTTCGTAATAGTGTCACTTTTGGTTAATGATTACTATCATCATAATAAGATATGAGTCAAGTAGAGGGATGCAAAAGAATTTTATGCACTACGACATACAGCTTAACCTATCTGTTTATTGAATTCATTACTTTTCAACCGATTACAAGAAGATCAGTATAAAAAAGCCACATTCGGTATCGTCCATTACCATATTTGTACTTGCTCTCTTATTAATGACTTTTTCAAAAAAAAAGATAGGTTCGTGTTTTTCTAAATAACTTTTGATAGAAACAAGATAGAAAGCTGCAGTTTTCACTTTTGAAAAGAAGATATCAAAACACATTGAATCGTATATTACCACTTTTTTCGAACTGGGTTTTTTAAAGTTTTCAATCCATCTTTTTGGAAACTGATGCCCCCCTGTGAAGTGACTGTAGTGAATTTTCAATTATACGGTGTGTGTCTGAATCATTGATGAAAGGTCTACAAAACTATGCGAGCTTCTTAATTTTAGATTTAGTTATTCTGGAGTCGTAGGTGTTCTAGTCAAAATTCTCAGCCGATTTTTGAAGAAATTGCTGTAAAAAAAACATTTTTGCTTTATTCTTATATTCAAAGGAACTATTTTTCCGACACTTTTTCAATAAATTTGATTAAACAAACTTCAGGAAACATCTTACGAGTACCCATAATATAAGAATCAATGCAACTTCATCTCCTCTTTCCAAAGTTGAAAACCGCAGCTCTGTACCTTATTTCTATTAAAAGCTATTTAAAAAAATAGCCACCTGTCTTTTCTTTTTGAATTGAGCATTAACTAAAAGATACTGATTCACTCTTTAAAAGTTCATCAAATTTCTCGTTCAATGCTTTCTTTATTACACTTCACTTTTCATTGCTTGAAATATAAGGTGTTCTAAAAGCTCGTCGAGAAAAAGAACGTAAATAACGCTTGAACAATTCGAGTCATACACGTGAGTGTTCTATCATTTTATTCGATTTTCTTTCAAGTTGAATTTCGCATAATTTTATTTGCATTTATTGTACAAAATGCCCAAATTGTCATGAAATTTTCAAGTTCACTGTTTTCAAACTTTAAAAATATCAAACATTAGATAGAAGTTCCACTGACACCATTGCATTTGTCTCACTGATTCTTCCAATTGTGTTCAATCTGATATTTAAGAGTCATCTTGCAGACATTCTCTTTCATATGTTACCATATAAAGAATTAGAGAGATGCGAAGTTCAATGAGTATAAAGCTCATCGAAAATACCTACCTGTTGGAATCACATGTTATGGGAAAAATTATTTAGAAGCTGATGTATTTCGTAGTCGAAATGTAAACATACCTCATTTTGTTGAACTACTTACTGAGTTCTATCATAGTTATGAATGCTATTAAGAAAACATTTCAAACAACCATAACATTTCCTGCCGATTCACCTTCATTAGTAACATAAAGTGTATCGACTCTTTCTTCTATCATTATCGTAAGACGTTCAGAATGTGGCTGATCTGCTAAAGTATCAGTTTCATGATAGCGTTTAGAGATCTCTCTAATAACATCTTTATTTATGTTTTCTGTGTCAAATTCGACTGGTATCGTTCGTATTACAATAGTACATGACTCACATTTGACCATCAATAAAACTATTTTGATTCTAATGTTTATAGACATAAATATTTGATCTGAGTTATGCTGACTATAATTTAAGGGAACATCACACGAAGTTATAGAAAACTCATGGAAAAAGTTCGAACTGTTGAAGAGCTATTCATGTCTTTTATTTTTTCGCCGGAACTTTTGGAACAGTCTATAATTGTTTTTAAATGTTTAGGCATAGCAAAATCAATTCTGAATCACGGTAAAGACGAGAAAGGCGAAGTATGAAGGTTTTCAAATTTGATTCTTAGCTGTTCAATCGGCATAACGTAGACTGATGCCATTTGTGACACCATGATTTAGGAATCTTTGTACACTTTGAACAACTCTTAGGCCAGTATCATAAAAGTTTTCTGAGTTGAGAGAAATATTTTTGATTCTTCAGAGTATGCCCTTGAAAAGTTTAGTCCATATACAGATTTGCTGTGTTCTTGAATGAGATTGTAGTATTTTCTTAGAATTTCATTCTAAGCTTCGAATTTGAATTTAGCAAGACGTTAATCTTTCTCCAAATAATGCAATTCTTCTTTTATAGTTTGTTAAATATGGATTTGTCGGAGATACTGCGATCGTTGGGGCTTTGTTTGGATTCCATGGCACTGGTCCTATGAGTGGTTCAATTTGAATTTTCGAAAAATTATTACCAACACTATTCATACCAATTATACAATTTGATAGAGAAAAATCGAAGCAAATTTTATATCGAATAAATGTTTAAAAAATAGCTTTATTTGTGTGTCTTTGTAGAGAGAAATGTTCTGTTTTCAAGTCATCATATATTTACGTGATTGTGTGCAAGTGTAATTCGTATTGATTTGTTTTGGTTCAGAAAAACATAAATTTCTTACAACCTATTGGTTCAATACAGTAAATATACACGTTTTCGAAACGATAATTGTATTGCTAAGTTTCTTAACGACATTTTGAACATATGTAGTGGGATCATATTATAGGTTGGAGTTGTGTTTATTTTTATTGTTAACGTTGTGTTATTTATGAGCATTGCAAAACCACACTGTTCTGTACAGATTTTGGATGGAAAGGTTCAAAAGTATTTCAGCATAATTAATTACACAAATCAATAGTAATTTTTTCACTGTCAAAATGAAATCCTTTGAATTTTATTTTATTGACATGCCTGTTTTGCGCGCTTTGGAATAAAAAGTTATGATATTCTAGTAGATTCTAAATGTGTAAAATTTCATAACTCGTTTTTCGTCCTATTGCTGGCATACAGTGTGTACTGCAATATATTCTCAAAATGAATATTAGATGATATGGATAATCTTCTCTATGTATATAGAACTAGTAAATATTATTGTGTTTTTAATAAATTCTTTGAAACGCATCTATAGTATAGAATAGTGCAGACAAAAAAATAAAAGCTTAGTATTTAGCAAACAGTCTTTACTTTAGTGGCAATAATTGGTTGCTACCTTGCCTAATAATCATTTTCATCAATGTAAATCTTGATTTGTTCTGTGAAATCTCTCTAACGAAGTTTTACATCTTTTGAAGAGACGAAGAAGATGATCAAAATGCATTGAACAGAATCTTTTCTAATCTCCTACACTGAACAGCGAAAAATCATTTCAGAAATTTGTCATTAACACGTCTTTCAATCTCAACGAATCACAAATTTTTTGTCCGAATTCTAAAAGCAAAAACACTTATATTCAATCTTTCATTAAATTTGTTAATGATCTTGAAAATGATATATACATGTACATATATCAAAATACAATAAAAGAAACTTTATGATCACCTGTATAACGTCACGATGAATCGAATTTTATTAAGATTGAATGCTCAAAAAACCAATTTGAATTCCTTTATGATATATCCATCTTTCAGGTATCGGTCGAACGATAATGTGAAATGTATTCAAAACAAAAGATACTTGCTGGTAATCCATCTATATCTTTAATGGTACACTGCGTCTGCATACTAGTGAGTTTTCCGTTTATTCGAAAATTTCTTGCCGTAATGCATCGAAGAGTAATTGCGAATACGTTATAATATTCTTCTGATAATATGAAATGTATTTTACTGGTGTACGATTTAAGATTTGATTTGATCAAAAAGGTTCGAAACATTCTGTATTTAACTATGAAAACAAAACTTTCCATATTTGAGACAATAGGTCATGTATAAAATAGAATAAAAAACTTCGATGAGTCTTCTCTCGTAAGCCATGGAGAAACCCTCGTGCATTCATTATTAACTAATTCGAAACTATATCAAGGACTTCTACACAACATATTTGTTTTAAATTATAATTTAACCAAGTACATAATAGTAATCTGCTCAATTTATAACTATTTAATATAAAACATATGTGACTGTATTCATAGATATAAAATGGTCAATGAGATCCATTCTTAAAGGTAGGAATATCTAAAAGTAGGTATTGGGTGTGTTTTGTGAGTGAGTGTCGGTGTGAACCAAGTGTAGTCTTGCATTTACACCCATGCGCAGAAACACCTGCGAAAACCTATCTGATAAAAAGATATGAGAGAGAATATTGATGCTAGTGAATAGTAGTACCATCACAAATCAAGTGAGACAAACAAGCACAACTCGTGCAATGTTCGAGATTGGCATATAGTTCGGGTAAAAACCAGTAATATTTATTTGGACTTTGCAAATGAAGTCTCAATTCTCGAAAATCCTATAGAATCTCTTGACGTATCGGATGTATATGTGGATGATGGGAAAGATAAAAAAATCGGACTCAGATTCCACACATCTGTCGTTTTACTTAGACTGCATTGAAAACAATGATATATAGTTTCAACACACTTAATTAGGCGCATTTTCTAGATTCTCGTACAGGATCCTTGGTTTTCAAATAGCAAAGATCACTCTATCGATATTTTCTCCTTTAGAGAAATTCATGAGTATTTTTATTTTCCATCAAATGAGACCAGAAATATGTAAAGATTTATCCAGAGTAGAAAAACTTAATTTAACTATTTTGTCGTGTCAAGGAGCATTGCAAATTATCAGAGACTTTGTTTTTCAGAAGCCTTAAATATTTGAGCGTCTACAAGCAAAATTCAAAATAAGTTTCAGGGAAAAATTCATCCACCGAG